CTATGAGAAGTTCAAGACAGGTGAGGCTTGACTTTGTAGGATGGAATTCACATACATATAACAGCTTCTATAAATTATCACCAAGCTTGCTCAATTAAAACAAAAACGATATTTTTGACACGTTCTCGTAATTTTCTGGAAAAGTCAGCATAATTCTATGAAATTTGTTATAATTTGATCTTTTGACCCATCTCTATGAAAATAACAAAGCCAACGTTTTACGCCAAACCAGACTTACTGTTTATCTCGTATTTGTTGAAAGCGAGGCTATCGCTAGAACGTTAACTTTTAAAGAGGTGTAAACTCAATTATTCAGATGTGTTGACAGGCCGATTTCTTTTGAAACAGAGTTGGCTTTCGAAAGAAATCAGTCGGCACAACTGAATAGATGAGTATGCACATTACTTCCAAATAATAACGTCCTAGGCACGACCCTGTTAGTGAGTATTCGTCGCAAATAAAATTTAAATCGATCATCAACCGCTTTGTTACATAGTTTTGAAAAATCAATCTTGAAACTAATCTTCCCGTTTATTTCTTTCTGTAGGTTTTTGAACTTTTGTGGTGCCTCGTTTGTCACGATATCTGGTTTGTTTGGAGTAAATCGAATGATTTACAGCAAACTAAAGCAAGAAGAATACTTGGCACAGCATTCTCGGTACGATAAATCCTTATTTAGAGTTAACTGGTTTAGAAAGATACCTCTTTAGAGAAATCATCAAATTAAGTTTTTTTTTATCTTTACGAAGTGGGTTCCATCAAAATGTATTGGTGACGAGGTAAGTCATTTGAAAGTGAGAATATGAAATCTGATACATTGCATTGTTGCATTGTACAATTTTAACTGTCAATCTTTTTTTCACGAGTTCTTTTTCAATTGACTTATTACAGGAAGTTGAGAAAAAATTTTCTAAAAGGTATGACGAAGCCTGAATATATGTAATAGCAGATGTACGAAAAGCTTGTTGTGTAGTAACCATTTTCAGTGTATGGCACTTGAGATTTACTTTAGACTGCTATGAAGTCAGTCACTTTATGCATTTCAGCCATGGTTACCCTGAGCCCGATGCTTGCATTCTGGAAATGATTAATGCACATTTAAAGGTCAGAAATGACGAAATTTTCCTCTTTGTTTTCATGCTACGTAAAGTTTTCTCCTTATTGATAGATGACGAGAGAAGGACGCATGCTCAGTCGTGGAGTAATGGTAAAAATAAGCTTTTTATTCCAAGTCTCTTAAGTTTTCATATCGAAATAACTGAAGAGCATTTCCGATGCAAATGAAATCATTTTAGCTTAAATGAACAATTGTGTGAAACGCAGACATAATTTCAACTCTTTCCAATCGATCTGTTTTACGCAAGAGAGTATACTTATGATTTCATAATGCCTTTTTGTCTGTTAGCTTTCTTCGCTGCTTTTTTAATAATTTCCTCTCTTTTTCAACACGACATTTTTGTTAAGCATGCTTTGACAGATTTTTCTGTTACCATTCTTCCAGTTTTTTTCCTTTTTAGACTCTAGATGATCTAACGGACAGCAGGTTAAACTCTTTCCTTTTTATATGACTGAGATAATCGAAGATCTACCACGATCTATCCGTAGCCATTTCAGTAAAAATGTGCATTTCTGTAACTCTGTGCAAAACATAAATATTTATTAGGGTTTTGTGTGCGCTCGTAAATTCTTTTGTTCCCGAAACATTTACAACTGAAGTTCTTCTAAACGACAGGTATTTTTTTGGTATTATAACTATTCGTTCCCAAATCATCTTTTCTCTTAAATGGTAAGAACTATTTTTTATGATTAGATGGACAGTCAACCTGGCTCTTCGTACGGCAAATGAATTTTTTAAATCATCGAGCTCATTTGATGCTTCAGATCTTGCTCAGGTAGCTAGAAATACCGTGCTTTGGTCAATTGACATGTTATGAGCATATTTTATGAGCTCGCGGCATGATTCATAAAATAATTTAGAGCTAATTTTGAGCAACATTTTAGAAATTTTTGATTTTCAATGTTTTATACGGCAGATCATTCAATCAAAATATATATAAAAATGATATAGAGTTATAGACCTTGTGCATGTAAAAGTAGACAAAATATCCACTTGTCGTTGCAACAACTAATTAAATGCTGCATCAAAAACTCCAACTTGCTCTCTTTTAAGATTTTCATATAACTTGTTTTTTAAAAATTTGAGGAATCTGAGTGGATCTTGTTCTTCAAACAAACGTGAAATAATTTTTTTTACTTTACAGGCAGATATCATGTCGGTTTGTTCTTACTTCGCATTTTTCTTTATGTGTGGTTATAAACTTAGACAGTCTCGGGCAGCACTACAGAGAATGGTAACGCAAACAGAAACTTGTTTAGCTACCTTTTTGTATTTTTGAAGAGTATTGTTGTTCACAATGTGCCTGTTTATAAAAAATTGGCATACTCGTCATTTCTAGTTGTTTTCTGAAACATTAGAAGTGGATAGCAACTCAAGAATTATATATATACTTTTCATTAAGTACAGAGAGAATTGGTAGCTATGATGTTTATTTGAATTTTCCCTAAAAATTTAATAGAATGAATTGCTGTTGTGGAAGTTAGAAATTAAAGATGATTTGGAAAAATGGAGGCGAAAAGTTTGAAAATGCTGTATTAGAAGAAGCACTTATTGATTGCAAACAACGTATGTCAGCTGCGTTAGATGACATACAATCTGACTTGAATTTCTACAGTTTGAGCTGGTTAAAACAATCCCTCGACTCGTGTAAATTGAATTTTGAAAACCGTGATCTATTACTTTCAAAATGCTTATTTGCTAAGCTTTACCAGACCAGTAGAAGCTATACATACTCATTAGTGTCATGTTCCATAGCTCCTCTCCCCTCTTTTTTTAAAAAAATGGTCGCTCATATTTATAAGATTGACGATCATGGGTTTTTCGAACCAGCAAAAGCAGTCGACAATTTTATGATATCCAGAAAATTTCATCCATTCACTCGTGGTCCGTGATATCTGTCTTTCCCTTTCAGTATTACAGTCTTTTAGTATTATGATTTCAAAAAACTGTTAAGAGGCTTTGTCAGCAAATCATCAACTTCATGTGAAAATAAATGAATGAGTCAAAACACTTACCTATAAATTGAATACTCTCGTTATGCTTCTGCCTACAACGTCAGTGTTTACAATCTTTCTTGTTATTGAAAATAGATAACAAAACAATTGTTGGTTTATCAGGCAAATTTTGCCTTTTAAATACAGAATCAATTTTCGCTCTCAAATCATTGCTAGCTTGAAATATTTTTCAAACCTGACATCCTAGACATATAACACAGATCAATGTCACAGCTTCGTGCTCTTGCACGTGTTTATCGCAACATTAGTTATTTTTTAGAAATTCATGATTTGGAACAGAAATTTGATCTCGGTGAATGTTCTGAATGGATGAAAGATATAGCAGCTATTCAAAATAATGTAGGTGAAATTTAAAACAGTCATATCATTAGAAGTACGTCACCATCAATTAATAACGTTTTTTTTCTGGAAAGCCAACTGAAACTCAATGTCACCGAAAGTGTCTTCGGGGGCATTCAAGCCAACGATTGTTTACTTTTGTTATAGGTTCGAACAATTGTATCGAAAAGAATACAAGATAAATACGACATAATTAGGGTACCAAGGTAACAGAAATCATTACATACTTTGTCCTGCATTCCGAGGCTAAATTTTCTTAAAGTTTAATTTTCATCACGTATAGAAACATGACAATAAGTGACTTAACAGTTTCATTGATTATCAATTTAGTAAGTTTATAAGATTTTCGAACTCGTGGACTGTGTTTTTCTTAACTCTGTGAAAAATTTGTGTTTTCTTTCTGTGTTTTATGTTTGAAACATAGAGTCTCACCTCCGGTGTTGGTTATTATGAGTTGAGAACGAAAGAAATTATATCAAGAGACAGAAAAATAATCCTTCAGAACACCCAATCAGGCATGTAGAATAATTTGAATCGTTTGTTTTTCATTTGCTATGGACAATGCTGGACATAAACAGCCACATCTTTTCAATGATTGGCTCTCATTTGGATAATCCATCCCCGTCTTTTCGTATAAAAATACGATTTCTCGTGACATTAAAACCTTATCACAAAAAATTTACTTCTTTTTGTGGACCAGTCACTTCAATATTCCAATCAGCTTCTTTCATGTAAAAGTTGTATTATGTGTGTTAATCACTCACAGATAATGCGATTCGAGTGACGTTAAACAGTGCCTTGGCTAAACAAATATTTGCTCAACGAGTATTTGTCCACTGTATTCGCTTCGAATTTGTTTGTTTGAGTTTCATAGTTTTTGATTTTTTTGCAGCACCATTAGATTTCATGAACAATTCTTGAGATTCACATGCTCAAGCGATAATTACAGCAGCGTCACTTTAATTTGCGAATTACTCCGTCGAGAATATCAGAAAAAATAAATTTAAATTTTACTTCTTCTCGTTTACGCCGCTTTTATCAACTGTATTAGACTTGAAAGGCTTTTGACTTAACAAAAACTGTGTTTGCACCTTGCAAACTGTAGTACAGCATTAATTTGGGCACATTTCATACAACCAGGCTTTAATATATTTTTTGATGCAACAGGTGAATTCGTTGATGACGTGGGTGAAAATCGTAAGTACAATCGTCAAAAAGAATAGCTTCGCTCTCTATTTGTCTCAAGTTACAAGTGCTAATATTTCTTTTACATTGTGTATGACATAGTCAGGGTTACACATGTCTTTGAAGAGCCTGTTATTTTGTATCACATATTATACAAAAGACAGTCAAATCCATATTGCTAGCATGACCCTAAACATGAGCAATTTTTGCAATGACATTTCTGTACACGTGCACAATAAGACGTTTAAAATTGCCACCCAAGTTTTTGTTGTAACGTTGTTTGCAAATAATATAATTCAATGAAAATTTTTGTACAAACCATTTAAATGAGTCGAAGCTGGCTTTCATTAAATCTCGTTTAGTTGTATTCATCCATGGAATCTTTCAATTTTGCAATTTTGCCAAACAAGAATTCTGCTGAAGAAGTTTCATGTTTTCTTTTACAGAAAGCCTTCGAGCACATCTCGGCATCAAGGACACTGTAGATGATATTAACCCAAGGTCTTATCCAGATTACAAAGTAAGAGCTCAGTCATTTGTTATTCTTGGTTTTCATGTGTGTCTCAAGGGAATAGCCAACAAAGAAAGAGCATCCATCATGTCGCCCAAAAACAATAAAATCTAATGATATTCTTTTGTAAGGAGTCCACCAACATGGCGCACATAAAAACCACCAATAGTGTGCGGTAGTTTGCATCATTTATCAACATCAGTCACATGGCATTCGTACAGCATGTAACCTTGCTTTAGAAAATGTTCTCCTTTTAAGGCAATCCCTTGTTTAATATTCCAGAATATTTATTCTTTTCATTACTGGGGTCCCTCTGGGAGTTCTGCTTGTTATTCCACCGCATGATCTGCATGTTTCATTTTTTATTAAACTTGTCTTCATAATATGACTGTAAAAAATACCATTTCACTATTAAGTACTGATCGAGTCCTTTACACTCTTGAACATTCTTTGTATGAAACAAGATTTTAAGCCATCTTCTTTCTTACTTTTTCTCTAACGTTATTACATCAACACAAATCAATAGCATTGGTAATTAAAACTTGCATCGCCATGTACACAGTACAAAGTCCAGGAGCTACAAACATAACAATATGACCCCTTTCCTTCAAAAGCGTGGGTGCCATTAATGGTTAGGTGCTATAAAGGAAAAAAATATTTAATGGTCAGCTTGCCCAATACGGATTCTTTTAGGGTCCAGGCCCTTGCAAATACCAGGAATTTGGACCTTTAATGGACCTCGTCAGCCTCATGGCTTTAGTTTTGCTGGCAGTTGCAGTTTTACTATATAAAACAAAATGCATATTCGGATGCATATTCAGACCCTCGAAAGGACACTGTCTCAAATCCCTAATAGATCTTAAGAAGTACAAACTTATATCTTTGTACGAACAATCTTTGTGCAATATAAAAGCTGTTTGCATAAAAGCATACCAAAAATTAAGATTCCTTTGTCAGTCAGCCAGATTTTTACCCTCTTTTAACATATTTCTAAGAATGTAATAAGGATGCACTAATCTACGTTTTCGTCATACTTCGTAAGTAAGGTGCCATAGAACCGCTAAGCTGACAATATGATCGGGGTACAGCTTACGTCTCCGACTTATTTTACTAAATTCTGATATACATGAACAGTAAACAAAAGCAAAAATATAAATATTTTGTTTAATGGACGACGGATACGTGCAAAATTCTTTCCCATTTTTGAAATGTTATATAATTTAATGAGAAACATTGAATGACCAGTTGCCAATTTTTAAATTTAATAACATGTCGTCTCCATATTCTTTAAATTCAGTAATTAAAATTTCGCGATAATTTGTTGCAGATATTTGCTGCCAGCCCGTCTCGCAACAAAATCTTAAAGGCTGGATCCTTGTAAGAAATGAATGTACTTGCGTGTATGTGTTGTCAGTGTGGAAATGGTTGTTGTAATTGAGTTTTTTGTACAGGTTTCTTTATCAAATATTTCCTGGAAGTACTTTGCCTTGTCAAAGATTGCTCTTTAAAGCTACAAAATCAGCAGAGATTGATACAGTAAAGAAGCTAGTATGTTTACTTAATATATTTCTAAAAGTAATGGAGTTCAAACACTCTAATTGCTATTTTAATGAATCTTCACTTGGGCATGTAAACGGCATCAGATCAAGACCTGCTTCCTGTTTCTTTATGCAGGTGACGTTTTTCCAGTCAGATAAGAGCTTTATCAACTCCAAAGAAAGTGGTTCTGGTAATACAGCTTTACACCTGGCATGTCGTCATGGACATTTTGTAAGATAACGTTTATAGTAAATGAGCAAACATGTACTTTTTGAGCCAGTTAATCGACGAATCAATGGCTTGTCGCCTTATTGTGGTGTGTTACACGTAGCACTTCGTTTTTAAATGAGTTCTCCAGTATTTATCATTAACTTCTCACAGTTAAAATCAATTCATTAATATTTAATTATGTCTATCCATAGGATCTTGTACAATATCTATTGGAGCATGGTGCACATATGGATGCTTTAAACAACATGAACTGTACGCCATTCTTTGCCGCAGTTAGTGCAAAGCAACGAGAAGTAGCTGAGGTGACAAAGTGCGATCATTTCAGAAAAGATTTGCACTCTTAAAGTAGAATGCCCTACGAGACGATTGTCTTGATAGTAATTGTCCCCTAGCCCTAGGTCATTCTCATACAGTCATCCAAAGACCTTCACTATGCTCTCATTAAAGTCCTTGTTTGTTTAAGTTGCTGATTGAATGGGGTGCTAACATCTTCAAGAAAAATTCTTCCGGTAAAACTGCATTTGAAATCATCAACAACGAAATTTTCACGTCGGAGTTACTTGGTGAGCTGCGAGCAATTTTTAAGAAGTTTAAATATGTGGTTGAAGATGACACAGTGTGCAAGGACCTGTTTTGATGATGTGTTGTTTTAGAAAAGATCGAAACATGCGATCATTTGTAAGGCAAGTTGTGAACGGGGACATTGAAAAACTAACCGAAGTCATAGAGCAACAATCTGTTGGAGGAATGTCTTTTCGCAGTTTACGCAGCAGGTATTTTATGCACGTGTATTTATTTTCATCATAATTTTGTTTAGAGAATGCCAAGTGTTAAGTGGTGACAGTAAAATAAAGTTTGCTAAGTTGCCTTCGTGCTTTGAAGTTTATAATAGGCAAGCGCAAAAATTCCCATAACTATACCACGTGTTGAACCACAAAATTACCAAAGCCAACTATTAGCTCCACCAACTCTTTATAAATAACCTCCGTCATCTTTCTTATGTTCGTCCTACATACATTGACCACGCATTCTTTATATTCTTTAACTTGGCACCTCAGCAAAATTTGTGCAATTCTCTAATACTTAAGCTCCACCAACTTAAAATCAAAACCTCACTCATCTTTACTTAAAACCCGACGTTCAGTTTTGAGCACCACCATCTCAATTTTAAGATCTGCCCCTCCAATTCTATGATCTCAAAACCTAAGCCCCACTTGTACTTAATCTCGAAAATCAATACATGTAATAACCACAATTAGATACTTAACACTCTAAGCATGCCTTATACAACGACAAATCAAACTGTCGTTATTACAGTTATACACATCACTTCTGCCAAGCACTGAATACATCAAAGAATATTATAAACCGTATTCCTGTTTCAGATGTTTAAAAGGAAGCACTCTACTTCATACAGCTACACATTTTGGCGAAGGGTCTTTGGTCAAGGTATATACTCATGTTTGCAAAATGTATTCAACCAATAAGATTACTGAAACATTAATATGCTCATCCAAACTCCCACTAGATTCTTTTGAAGGAGGGAGGAATATCGATTACCAGACTATAAAGGAGCAACTGCATTACACCGGGTAAAGGATAAAGACACGTTGAAGGTTTGAAAAGTCGATTCTTATACGGGATTTACGGGTTAAATATTTCTGTTCCTTGATGATTCGGCATATTGCAAATAAAACGTAAAATATTGCTTCAAAATGGTACAGCTCTACAAGGAGGCAAAACGGCGATCAACTAGTTCAGTCGCCTTGTTACTTTACCCTATTTTTTGAAACCTTCATACCAGTGGCGGACACCAAAGAGGGGAAGGGGGGGCTCTAGCCCCCCTCAATAATTTTGATGAATAGAAATCTGCGTCAATCCTAAAATCGTACCTACATAACATCACTGAGATGTTAAATTATAATTATTTGATAAACATCTATATTGTACCAGTCTCAGCAGATGCATTAAATCTTGTTGTGTGTCTAGGAATATGTGCAGGAATCCTTTACTTGATTTCTGGAATTTTTTAAAAGTATACATATAGGCATGCCTGGAGTCTCCCTAGAAATCGCATGCCTTGACGACGACCCCCTCCCCCCCCCAATATTTCATAAAGTGTCCGCCACTGTTTCATACTTTCAAATTCAGATAAATGCAGTCTTTCAAGTTGTTTTTGATTACTTCTTCCATAACTTTTTAGTTAAGTGCATCGTGAATTTTTTTATTGAAAGTTGCAAACAGTTTGGGGTTGGTACAATATATCCATATGATCGTTAAAGCACGAGATTTCTTAAGCATTTGAAATAAACGAAACATGTTTATGATAAAAAAAATTTGTCGTTTGGTACAATATACCCGAACAGCATTTCATTACATTTGAAGTGTTATGTTAACGACCTTAGGTATTTTAAGGTGTTTTAGGCAAATTGGCCGAGTAAACTGGCCATTGCACGTTAGTAGCTAAAATAGATTGTTTACACAAACAAGCAATTCACATACACATGTCTTCCGGCTGTTAAATTTTAAACTTTGTAAGTAGAAAATATGTGCGCAAAACAGCCATTTATCAAACACAAAAGTGACAAACGTTCGCAATGAATCCAGATATTATTGGAGGCAGGAGCAAATATTGATGCGGTGGATGATGATGGTAACACACCACTTCATGTTTTCTGCTATGGGGATCATATCAAAGACGATTTTCTTCAATGTATGGAAAGTTTAGTAAGTAGCTGTAAGATGTTATTTCAAATCCTCACATATTCATGTATAGTTTTTAGTCTCGTGAGCAATACACTAATATCTAAAATAAGTATTTTTTTTTCAGTTGAATAAGAAGCCATTGTTAACAGCAAGAAACCACAAGGTTTACACATATACACATGTATAAAACAAGTCAATGAAGCCTTTTGTCATGAACTAGATATTCATTTGACCTTTTTGTGTAACATAAATATGTATACCATGTCAAGAATCTTTATTGAATTTCAGGGAATGATGGCGGTTCATTATTGTGCACTGCATGGTCGAGTTGATGTTGTTGAACTTTTGCTTCAATATGATCAGGAAGGTCTGATAAAGGAACAACTCAGTTTGAAAAATAAGGTAACATATTCATACGAAATGCGTATTTTTATAAGTGTCACAACCTAATTTCCCTATGATTGATCAGTATTTAAATATTTCGGTTACATGCAGATTTTCATGTTCGCTTGATTTATATAGGATTCGCCATCGATCCTTTTCTTGGCCTTGGCAAATGATCAATTAGATGTTGCATGTTGGTATGAGATTCACTGAGAACACGATATTCAAATGATTTTTTTTTGAAATGATCACACAAATGTTCGATATCTGTAGTCTACTAAGTATACATTTTTGCCAGGTTAACTACGAACAAATTTGCATTTTATCCTGACGAGGCTGATCAACTCATGCAAAAAATCATTTTCGGTGAAATGTCATGGTAAATATACTTCATTTCTCTCTTCAGTATAGTGAAATTTAAAGTAGACAAAATTCACGTTTTTTCCAATCTTGTTAGTTGTGGCCATGATGGGGAAATTGTACATCTTTCAAAACAAAATATAGTTACACTAATTTTTTGTGATTTATTTAAGAACCCACGTGTAAAGAAAGATATACGTAGTTTCCTGTTTTCAACCACAAAGCATTAAATAAATAACCTATCAAAATCCGTTGTTCTATGCCATGTGTAACACGTATATGTTTTATTTAAAATTAGTAAAATTTCGTTCGAAGCGATGACAACATATCCATGTTTTTTTTTTAGCTCGAACTATCTGTCCACGATGCAATTTTTACTAGACCACGGAGGAGATCCTGGATGTGTTGATGCAGCAGGAAACACGTATGTTTGGTAGAATATAGGCATGTATACAACTCAATAGAGCGAAAAGTAAAGGTTACAATATTAAATGTTGGACGCGTAGGAAATAAGTCAACGTTAGTTCTATTAATAACTCCTTATGACACTACCAATAAAATAAGTACAGGAGGAATTTTATGGATGTTGAATGACATCGTGTGATCAACTCTCAAATTTGATTTTGTGTTGTTAATTTACATGACACTTTTTCAGGCTTCTTCATTATGTTGCTGCTAATCCTGATCTCAGTGAGTTGTTGGAGATGCTGGTAGAGAAGGATGCCGACGTAAACGCCTTAAACACGGATGCTATGTCACCGCTGTTCTTTGCCGCAAAAAGTAGCTGCATCTACAATGCTAGTGTTTTGATTGCAAATGGTACGTAAAGTAAATTGTATATTTTGTTCATTGTATTGTTAACTTGTCAATGTTCAAAATGAAATTATCAAAGTTAGATCAAAGAAAGGTTTGCTAACAACGTTTGCACTAATTTTCATGTAGGTGCTGATATTAAGCTAAAAAACTACCAAGGTATAGCATCAACACAAAACAACTTTTCAGGCTGCGTTTACACTACACCGGATTCGCTCATCACGACATAAAAGTTTATTAAACTGATAGATTTAGTCTATTTGATTGTGTTTCTGACGTTGAACAATTTCACTGTCTTTAATACAGAATATTATAGCAATCCGGTATAGTGTAAACAGGGCCTCAATGAAAGTATCTGCGTGAAATTGACAAGGAGCTTGAACTTGCACCCTTCTTAAATCTAATCGCACGATTGTTATGGTCTTTGTCAAGGTTTAACAGCGCTAGATTTCATCACTGATTTTGAAGAATGGAAAAACTCTGGATTTTTAATGAAGAAATGAAGGCACGTCTAAGGGTTAGAAAACTTCTTCAATTATTCATCGATAAAACAGTGATAATACTCGATGCGTTTGGGCATCCCTTTCGCTAAAGTTGACAGGATCATTGCCCGTATACAACAGCTACGTTTCATAAGTTCGCATTGTTTATTTAGCATGCAGCTTGAAGCACTCCAAGGATCTTGTGAGAGCTATATCAATCAAAGTAAAAGGGACAGTCTCCGATCAAAGAACCTGTTCTAGTTCCCAAAATCCTATGTCTTTGCGCTCCCATATCCAGCATGCGCAGAAAGATCTAGAGCACATCAGTTTTCCGAGGCAAATATCATTTAGATGACAACTCGCAATATCAGGAAACATTTAGCAGTTCTACGCATCCCACCCCTTCCCCCCAACATTACGAAATTGTCAGCGGTTGGTGTTAACGTTCCTACATATTTCATGACGTCATCACTTGACCGAAATCACGATATCCATCGATAATTGAGTGAATTTCATTCCAGTGTCAATAAGGTAGATTGAGTTAGAGACTGACGGGCTACTAAAAAAGTTTTTAAACGGCTTTATCTCTTGAAAGTTCACATATAATTTTTTTTAATAAGACGTTTTAAATTCTTTCTCACATTAATTACTTTTTCATTGAAAAAGGTCAACGTATACACAAAGTATAAAATGTATAAAAGTTGATGGATAGCTATCGATGTTATATACAACTTGGTGTGAATAGCAACTAAAATTTATTTAAGTACAAATTAAAACATATTCCAAATATATTGTAGACATCTCGTTTTCTTGATATTCAACATGAGAAACAAGAGTTTTGATACAGAGACAGTTTCTCATCTTGAATATCAAGAAAATGGAATGCCTACATTCGGAATTTACTTTATTTTGATTTTCTGATGTTATCTGCTTGTTCTGGTTATTGATTCATTAAGAAGAGTGCAATTGGCAATTTTGAAAAAGAAAACAAGAGGGACAGTCTAATTGATAAAAAAAACCAACATACACAAAAAAGTGCTGGTAGGGTCGAGGTTTTGCAAGAAATGCTAAACTAAATGAACAATTATCGAAGTATACCAATACGCATAATCAATATATCATTTTTTTATGTAAATCAATAATTGCACCACATCCTGTGCGATTACTCTAAATATTTGCCGCCCATTCTTCACTCTAGTATAAGCCAAGATATCACCCCTGACTCAGTTTAAATTAGTTTCATTTACGATACGGACGCCATTATTAGGCTGATGACACTATCAGAGAATACATAACTGATTTGTACAAATGATTTCCGATTTTCAACTTATCTGCTTCAGCAATTAGATATCATTCGTACGCCTGCTATCCCGAAGCCAGCAACGTATCCAAATCAAATGCTGGGTCAATTTCGAACGTATTATCATCAATACCTTCATAACAAAAAACAATTGCAAAAAATCTTGATTGACTAAACTCACCAAAATGTTCAAACTTACTAAAACTACTGGCTAATACTGAATGAAATTTATGCAAAAGGTAAAGTACGTAGAATATGATCGCGTAATAAAAGGACCATCGCTTCTCGTTAAGATGAATATAGAGAAAAATAAACCCAACAAACTTAGAGTAAACCACAAACAATAAACTCCCCTAGTTATAACACTCCCCCTCCCCATGTACAAACAAACCTCAGCCAATGAGTTGAAGCGTAACTAAAAAAGATTTTAGAAAAGGCTTCGCCTGCTACAAAATATCAGCCCAGTTAGCATACTCATGCTTGGTGTTATTAGTGTTCGTTTTCCTCTTTTATGTACATGCAGGCTTGTTTATTTGCTCACACTTAAGGTCGTCTTTGTATAATCCCAAATGTGCATAAGTCTTCCGTTATAATAACCCATCAAAAATTGTTTACAAAAGTACATAAACCCAGATTAGTCGGAGAATTACGGGTTTGCAACTGTTTCATTTAATGCATCTTGAATGCAACAAATAAATAACGATGATCTCAATGGCTTCAGTCAAGCACTGAATTAAATCGTGCATTAACAAACAATAAAAGGAGAGTGAAAAATTATAATTAATAAACAAAAAAGGTGGTCGTTTACCAGTAGCAGTTGAAGTTGACGCTCCTGGTTCGTAGACATTACTGATGTCAAATGTTGATGAATCAGAGGACAAACCAGCTACATCTGCAACTTCCATTTCTGCATCTATATCAAATGTTGGGTCTAGAAAACAAAATCAAAAACATTTCACACCAAAAAAAGCAATGCTCGGCTCCACTCAGTTAGAAAAAATAAATCAAATTGACTTTGACGTTATAAATCTAGCAATTGCATTATGGCATGCATCGAATTAGAAAACATTCAGTTGCATGCAAAGCAACTGATCAAGATACAAAATATTAGAACTATAAACGCAGAGAAACTAGTCGTTCGAATAATCTAGGGAGAAAATAACCTTGAAGATAAGACAAAAAAATTAGAATATCGAAGTCATGATTTTCAATTACTTGTTTATGAAGTAAAAGATTGACATAAACAAGACTTTTTTCATTGTGTTTCTTACGCATTTTTATAACAAATAAACACAACTGAATCTGTAAATTCTGAAAATCTAAACGTAGAAAGTGGCGTTGTATTGACCACTAAATGGCAATTTATCACAGTTCAGTCATAAATTTCTCTGATATATGTAAACTTAGTTAAACAGCCACATGTTCACAAATGACGTAAGAAGTAACAAAGAGGAGGAAAGCGGTATCTAGTTACCTAAAGCAGTATCAAATCCGTACGTATCCTCAACATGTAAGGAGCCAGGTGAATCGGATGCACCTCCAGGGAGCGTTTGAAAGATACCCTCGACATCGGATACTCCAGCCATCTCAGAAACATCCGAAGTGACTGCGCTAGCCAAAAACGGCTCATTTTCAACTTCGGCAAAATTAACAGAATCCGGATGTAGCATGCCCATTCGTTCATCTTCGGGAGCAGTCGAAATAAGACGGTCCAAACTGCCGCTTTGATCAAAGGTTACACCTGAAATCATATCGGTACCGTCAGCAGCCAGAATGCCAGAA